GCTCCGTCTGTTGCTGCTGCGGCCGCTGCTGCAGTTGTTTTTGTTATTATCTGTTGATGCCCCCCCTCCAGACAGACTGTGGGGTGTGTAATGTACCATCCTCGCCATGCCCCCTCTAAGTGCCCAGTAAGTGGCACTGCCCTTCTCTCTTGCTTTCAGCCCCCTCCCTCCATCTGCTTAGGGCTCTATTTTTAGAACCAGTGAGCCAGGAATAACCCTCGCTGGGTCCCAGGGCTGAGGACATTCCGGCCCCCACGGCCCTACTCCGCCAGCTTCCTTCCCCTCCTGGTGGGTTGCGCTGCCGTGACCTCACGGTTCGTTGCCATAGCAGCAGATGTGATGTCACAAGGTCTTTTGACCTGAGAAATTGTCCAGATTCCAGGCATCCCAGGGGGCGGGAGTGGGGAGAGCTGGAGGGGGGAAGGGGAGCGGGTGTGAGGAATTTCTGGACGGAATGTTCCTTTGGAGGCTGAGTCCGCATTCTGCGCCAGCCCCCTCCCCCCGGCCCCCCGGACGGGGGCACCTCCCCCACCCACTGTGGCCTCTGTCTTTTCCTTCATCCAAAACAGCAGCCCACAGATGCATTTTTCCCCGGCCCACCCTCCCTCAGGCCGCCAGCATGCCCTGCTGCACGAACCTCCCGGCTGGCATCGCAGCCACCCCAGCCTCGCAGAATGGCCCTTCCTGGGCCCATCCAGCGGGCAGCGGGTCAATGCAGGCCTGGAGAGGGCATGCATGTCTTTTTTTTTTGGGGGGGGGGGCTTTTTTTCTTTATTGATTAAGGTATTTCATATGTGTCCTTTTCCTCCCCGTTGAGTCTCCCCCTCCTCCTCTCCCCCACCCCCGTCCAAGACATGCATGTCTTTTTTGGGGGGGAAAATTGAGGAAAAGATGTGCAGCTTCCCTTACCCACCTTGTGGTTCTCAGCCGCTCACATTTAGGAAGTTCTCTCTGTTGTCTGACCTCAGTCTCCCTGCTGCAGCCCATTTCCCCCTCTTCCCGCGGAAGTGTGCCGCAGACCCCTTCCTCTGGAGGACCGGAGACAATTAGTCTCCAAGTCACAGAGAGTTTGTTCCCAGCAGGAGGGCAGTTGATTTGAGGGTAAGAGGAACTGAATGGAGAGCATCTCCTAGGAGAGACAGAGCATGAAGGGCTGGAAGGAAGGAGCAGGGTTCTACCACCAGCCCTCTGAGCTACCTATGAGCTGTGTACCCGTGGGCAAGCTATTTAATCGGGCAGACCGTCAGTCTCCTCAGCTGTAAAATGGGTTCATGCTTACCATGTGCACAGTGGATACGCGGATGGCTGTGAGGATGGATGATGACCATGGAAGCCGAGAACCTAATACTATGTATGCCGGAGGCTGCACTCACACTAATGAGTCATTGTTGTTACTGTGTTAACATTAGGAAAGGCATGTCCAGCCCAGGGCCAGGATGAGGTAGGCTGGTGAGGCCCCCGGGGTGCAGAATTCACGGAGGCCTGGCTCTCAGGGCTGTGCTGGTGCCCTCGGAGCTGCCTGAGAACGGATGCCTCCTTACACACTCTGCCCTCAGCGCTCACCCGAGTCCCTGCCTGCCTCACTCCAGACTCCCGGGTCCGGGATCCCAGAGCAGAGTGATCCCTGAGGAGCAAGACTTGGATGTCCAGTGGCACCAGGTCCACACCCGGCCACCGGTTCCCGAGCCGAGTTCAGGTTGTTAGTTCTGAAGACCCTGGTGGAGCTGTGGCCAGCTGCTCAGGAAGTCTGGGTCCTTGAGATGTAGGTTTTTTCCTGGGACTGGGCCGTGGGTAGGGACAGATGGGGATAGTCCCCATCTGGGTTCCATCTGCTCAGTCCTTCTGCAGCGGAGCCTCAGGAGGGAGGAAGAGAGGGGCCTGCAGGGAGCGGGGGACAGGGTGGAGGGGCTGCGAGGGGAACTTGGCCAACTCCAATCCTGCCTTAACTTTACCCTGAGAACCCGGGCCAGTCAGACCTCTTTGCACTCAGGAGGGTGGGGACAGGGTCTGCAGTCCCTCTCGGAGCTGCTCTGAGGAGTGGTGTGGAGGATGGCGGTGTGTTGTACACGTGTGTGTGCACGTGTGGGAGTGGGTGGGGTGTCTGTGTTGCTGAAGAGGCTCTGCTGGCTATTGGAATTCTGGGGCAGCCACCTCGGGAGTCCACAGCAGGGGTGGTCCGGGAGCTCCCCTATAGCATGCCGGGCGGGGCCTGGGGCAGGCCTGGCTTCCGGGGAGACCCCACCCTCCTGTGACCAGTCCCTGCCGCTTTCACTCCCCGGCGGCCCAGCGCTGGCAGTTCCTGGGAAACAGAAGCAGGACTTCAGTGCCGGAGGACCGGGGCGGGGAGGGTGGGAGCTCGGCAGGCATGCTGGGCCGTGTTTGCAAACACGGCAGGAAGAGGCTGGGGGGTTAGGTCAGGAGGGGTTTTTGGGAATTTTTAGCTCTTCAGAAAGCATCTCAACCAGTAAGTTGAAGGCATCCGATGGCTGGCAAGCGTCTCTCCGTGGCTGGCTTCCAGCTGGCACCGGGAGAGGGGTGGGGGCCAAGGTTACGGTGCTCGGATGATTGTTGGCAGGGAGAGAAGTTTCTCTTGCACTGCTGAGGCCTGTGGCTTCTAATATTGACTCCCTGGCCTGCTTTGTGCCAGACCTGGGAGGGTGTGCTGGGGCAGCAGGGGCAGGGTGGGGCAGGGTGGGCCTCGGGCGGGCCTGGGGAGTGTGGGGTGGGGAGGATAAATAACTGCCGGCATTGACTGGACGCTTTCTAAGCGCCGGGCCTGTTCTAAGTGCTTTGTGTGCCTCCTCTTATGTGACTCCTTCAACATCGGGCCCCTCTGTCCCATTGAGGAGCAGCGAGGATGAAGTGACCCGCCTGAGGCCGCACAGTTAGCCGTCCAGCCCGGTGCTTCTCAGAGCATCATCCCCAGACCTGGCAACCTGTTAGAAATACATAGTCTCGCCGAAACCGGTTTGGTTCAGTGGATAGAGCGTCGGCCTGAGGACTAAAAGGTCCCAGGTTCGATTCCGGTCAAGAGCGTGTACCTTGGCTGCAGGCACATCCCCAGAAGGGGGTGTGCAAGAGGCAGCTGGTCCATGATTCTCTCTCATCGATGTTTCTAGCTCTTTATTCCTCTCCCTTCCTCATCAATAAAATATATTAAAAAAAAGAAAAATGCGTAGTCTCGGGTCCCACCTGAGTTCTATTGGATCAGCCCTCTGGGGAGGGCCCAGCCCTTGTGTGTCCACAGCCCTCCAGGTGCTTCTGAGTCACGCTCAAGTTCAAGGTGCCCTGACTCACACTCTGCTCTTCAGGAGAATCATGGCCTCCTGGGAGGTTCCCCCCAACGCTGGATGGGGACTCTTGAGACCCTGCAGCATCCTGGGGCAGGCACTTCCTCTGCGGCTCCTCCATCTCACCCCACTGCTGTCCTTTCTGAGCAGCCTGTCTGGAGAGGCTGGCTCAGAGAGTGAGAATGAGGGCTTCGGAGCTGGAGAGCTGGGTTCAGATCTCTGCTTGGCTCTGCAGACTCTGCATACAGAGGTCTCTGTCTGCCCCTAGGTGTGTTCCTCCTTCCCCCAGAGAGGAGGTGGTCCCGCCCAGCCCTTGGTCTCCACGGGAGCATCACAGAGCCCTGGATCAAAGGGACAAGTGGGGGTCAGAGGGCCGGCATTTCCCAGGGGGCTCATTTGGCCCCTGCCCGGTGGTCTGTGGTTCGGCAGCGGGGCTCTGGGAGGTGGCTGGGCTGGGCTGGGACTGGATGGAATCTGCCATCTTTATTCCTCCAGCGCCATCCTCAGACTCCAGGGGAGCCGACCTGAGGCCTAGAGGGGCTTCCTGATGTGTCTCCCCAACTCCTGCTCCATTCCTGGACCCTGTCCTCCCTCATCCATCTTCAGCTGCCTGCCTTGGCCCTGAAGTACTCCCAGGAGGTTCCATCCCCTGGAGGGAAGTTTTGGCCTCAGCCACCCGTCTTCTCTCCAGGCAGGAGGGTAACGTCTGGGCCGCTTCCAGAGAGAGCACGCTGCCTTCAGCTTAGCCGGCCTTCTCCCTCCGGGTCCGCCTCGGCCAGCTCTCCTGGCGCCAGACCCTCTCCGTGGTCACTCTGTCCATTCCTCTGTCTTCACAAACAGCTTGCCCCCAAGGTCCCGGGCGGAGGCGAGGACAGGCGTTTCCTATCCCGAGACAGCCTGTCTTCCCTGGGCCCACACTCATTTCGGCAGAGGCCCGCTCCGTGACCTTGGCAGCCATGCTCCCGTCCTTCTGCATGGCTCAGGGGCCCAGCTAATGACTTTGCTGAGTAGAAACTGGTCAGGAGGTGGACTTGGAACGGGAAGTTTTCCTCCTGTTTTGGGGGGATCCTAGAAGTTTTCCTCCTGTTTTTGGGCCCCGGGGGTGTGCTCAGCGGTTGGAGTGTGGGCCTGCAGCACGGGAGGGTCCCAGGTTTGATTCTGGGTCCAGGACACGCATTTGGGTTGCGGGTTTACCCGCCATTTCCAGTTAGGCTGTGTGCAGGGGGTAACCAGTCAGTGTGTCTCTCTCACATGTTTCTCTTTCTCTCTCTCCTCCTCTCTTCTCCCCTTCACTCTCTCTGAGAAGCAATGGAAAAAATATCCTCAGGTGACGATTGAAAAAAAAAAAAAAAAAAAGGTAATAATGGTACCTGCACCACAGGTGCTGGTGGTGGCTGAGATGGTCTTGGTGGAGACGCCGGGCACACTGGCACAGTGACGGTCACTGGCTCCTGGTTCCTTTCTGAACCCTCAGCGACTGCCTGAGTCAGCGGCCCAGGCGATGTTTGTCCAGGTGGATGTTTACAGTGCCGATGAGAAGCTTTTTATTTTCCAAACTGTGCCTCCCCACGTGGGGACAGCCAGGTTCCATCTTGGGGTGGCGTCATGTCCTGAGAGCATTCTGCCCGCGTGGCCGCCGGCCTTGGAGAGGGAGCTGGTCTGGGGGTGTCTGTCCTGAGGCCTCACACCGCCTTTTCCCTCTGTCTGCAGCCTGTCCATGCGGAGAGTGCACCGAAGAATGTAGTGGACACGGTGAGTGATAGCAGGCCCTGGGCGGGGTGATGGGGAGCGGCCTGGGAGGCTGTTAAGTGGAAGATGGATTTGAGGAAAGGGAACGGATGTGTTTGGAGGAGACGGGGAACTTGGGGGAAGTGGGAGGGCCATGGGTGACGCGAGGAGCTGGTGCAGCATTTGGAGATGGGTTGTTGGGGAACTAGGCAGCAAATTAAAATTTTCTAAAAACTCAGCAGCAAAAGTTAACATTATCTAAATAATTGGCCATCAAAGTGACTTGAAATATGTACAGCTAATAATTATATTCTTTATTCACACCTCTTAGGATGACTATTCATGTTCCATTGTAGAAAATCCAATGTTTGACTAAGGAGGCTGCCTGAGTCCCCACTAAATAATATATAGTTTGTGCACTATATTGTTTTTTTTGAAATAAGGAGAGGCAGGAGTGGGAGCGGAGAGAGAGAGGCCAGCGGTTAAATATGGGTTTCTCTATTAAATATGTAGGGATTGAGAAAGCCAGGCAGATCTTTCTGACGAAGCAGAGAAACAGACAAGCTCAAGGCTGTGAGGAGGAGGAAGAGGGAAAAGTCCGGGTGCCCGAAGTGGGGACGGGTTAGCAGCTGTGAGGTGTCCCTGGCGATGGCTGGTGGTGAATGGCTTGGAGTGGAAGACTCCTCCGAGCTCCTGATTGGGGGACTGTAGTCAGATCGTGAGCCTGTCTCTGCCTCAGTTTTCTTATCTGCAAAATGAGAAGAATAATGTTTCCCAGAGTTTGTCGTGAGACATGGAGAAGAGGGTTTGATTAGCTCTGAGAGGCCTTCAGTGGACAAAGAAATGTTAAACAGCCAAGTCTCCCCCACCCCACTCCACCCACCCCACCCCACCCCATCCCACCCCACCCCACCCAGGCCCTTCTGCAATCCTCTGCCAAACCCAGCAGGTGAAAGGCCTAGTGCCTTCTGATTACTGTCTTTGACTCCCCTTTCTTACTGTCTTGTGTGTCTCTCTCCAGGGAGAAGGAACCTTCCGTGGTGGGAACACTCGGAAAAGCCTTGAGGAAGACGTAAGTATGGGGGGAAGGGGCAGAGAAGGATGTGGCTGGGCCCCTAGCGCTCAGAGGGACTGGGTATGGGTGGGTGGGTGGTAGCTCATACCTCCCTTGTTTGGTGGGGTGTCCCTTCCTCTTCTCCAGAGGGCAGGCAGGGTTGCCCAGCTTAGTTGCTGAGCAAGGGAGGAGGGGCTGGGTGAGCAGATCCCATCTGCTGATACACTGGGCCTCAGCCTCGGCCTTGGCCTCCAGCTCAGCTGGGTTCAGAGCACTTTCGCCCATCACTTTGCCAGGGTGGAAGTGGGAGGAGGGCGGGCTCTGTGAGGCCCTGTTGGGTGGGGGGAGAACAGTCACCAAGGAGGATGGTCAACACTGTAGGGACCAAGGGCAAAGATGAAGAGGGTCACCAGGTCTTGAGGAATTGCACGCTCTGCTGCTTTGGAAAGAGGAAAGTGCAGAATCCTTCGTGTGGCTGAAGTGCCAGTGACTCAGGAAGAACCTGGAAGGTGGGCCGACTGGTCCACCACGCTCCTGCTGCCCCGCATTTCTGCCGGAAGCCAGTGAGCCCAGTTCTGAGGTGGAAGGACCCAGAGGGGGGCAGAAGGGGCTCTCCCACGGCCCTGCTCTGGGCAACACTTGTGGCGGGGCTTGTCCTCACGCCCCAGGAGCTGACGCCCGGCAGAGTTGGCCCTTGTTCTTCCTTCCCTTCTCTGCAGTTCGCCCCTCTGCTGGCCTCTCCATCCTTGCAGAGGAACAGGGAGTGGTTTTGACGGTTGGCACAGGGGGAGCTGTTGATGGCATAAGGCCCTATCATCTGACAGCTGCCTGACCCATGTGGGGAGGGCCCAGAGGGAGGTGCTGGGCGGCAGGCGGCAGCGTCTGCAGGCGGCAGCACTTCTGCGGTGAGCCCACCGCCACGGCCTCCTTGCCCGGGGCAGCCTGCACCGCGAGCGAGCGGAGGCGTCCGTAGGGAGAGCGGGAGCATGCCTCTCAAACTAGTGGGGAAGGCTCTGCTCAAGGTAGGAGGGGGCCTGCGGGCACAGGCACACGCGTGTCCGAGTCTGTGATGTTTCTGGGGCTGCAGTGTGGGGGGAGAAATTAATTTTTTGTGTGCCTGCTACTGAGGATTGACAGCTTAATGCACACAGAGCACACGCTATGTGCTCGTGAATGGCAGCTGTCTTATGACTGCTGTTTGACGGAGGGTCAGGAGCAGGGCTGGGTAGTTTCTGATCCTCGTGACAACCCCTATGGCAGACGCTGTGACCCCATTTTGTAGATAAGCAAACAGAGGCCTGGAGGGGCTCCGTGCCTCCTCAATGCCTTCTCTATTTCTTCCCCGGGGCCGCTGCTTAGACTTGGTGTTGCCAGGACTCCCAACCTTGGTGGGGGGACAGGGTGATGGTGTTTGAACCAAGACATTTAGCCAGTGGTCTACAAACTCTTGTAAGTTATCTAGAACTGCTGCTCCCCCCATCCCAGCCCGGGTCTGACGGACCCGGAAGGTCAGGCTGCAGCAGGAGAGCGTGAGGTGAGACATCGTGAGGAACTTTCTGACACGAGGGTGTGTTTGACTGTCGTCCGGGGGAGGACAGAGGTGGCTGTGTAACAGGGACTGGAGGTTTGATCGAGGAGAGAGTTTTGTCGGTCTGGGATGAATGTGTGTGTAGGGGCGGGTAAGGGCGGTGTCCTGTCTGGATAGGGGAGGGGAGACCCGTGGTGTTTTGGTTGTGAGTCTAGTTTACGGGGTGTGTGAAAGGCAAAGCAGGCTCCGGAATGGCCTGCGTACGGCACAGAAGGGGAGGAAACCTCAGTGTAAGGTCCCGGACATCTGCTGTGGGTTGGATGACCTCAGGGTGATGGGGTCCGTCCCCTGCCCTGCAGTGGGCTCCCCGCAGTCTGCCGCAGGTGAAGGGGCAGGGTGGAAGTGCTGGGCCTGCGGCTGGGACAATACGCCTGTTTTGTTGAGCTGTTTTCCTGTCTCTGGCCCGTGGCCCAGGACTCGGGGCAGGAATGGCTGTTTTCCTCCGACGGCTGGTGTGCGGCGGAGTTCGTGGATGGTGTGCTGTGTCGCACTTTGTTTTGGAAAAATCCAGGCTGGTGGGCAGGAAGGAGAGAGGAAGGGGTGTGGCTGGAGGGGCTGGTGCTGGGGGAGGGGTGGCCGCTGGCCTCAGAGGAGACATAGGAATGGGGAAGGGCTCCTGACGCGGGTTGGTCACCGATTTCTGGCTGCCTGATGCTGCTTACACACCCTCCTCCCAACCGTGCCCCCTGGGGCCTGCGGCTCAGGAAACAGCTTTCCTTTTGGTCCAGGCTGTGTTGTGTTTGGTCTGTGGACCTCAAAGGCAGGCGGGACTCTTCCCACACAGTGGTTGCTCCAACCAACCCCACCCAGGCCCCAGCATGCCGCTCCTTGCTGTATGGGGGGGGGGGGGGGGAGGCAGATCAGAGCCTAGGGTCATGGTCTTGAGCGTTCGGGGACGGCTGAGCGGTGATCAGCAGCGAGGACCAAGGCGAAAAGAGTTGGCTGGACCTGCGGTGGGAAGGGTCAGGGTTGGACACCAGGAAGAACTTACCGGTAGTCAGAGAAGTAGGACCCTGTTTTGGTGTCACTGTGGAATTTCCGTTAGTGGTGTCCTTTCCACAAAGGACAGACTATTTTGGTGACAACAATAGGGGAGCGTTCTTCTGGGCGCACAGGGAATTGGATCAAAAGTCCTGTTACTGATCTACGTCCTGGTAGCGGCTGGGAGGAAGTTCAAAGCCCTGTGGATAGAGCTGAAACCGGTTTGGCTCAGTGGATAGAGCATCAGCCTGTGGACTGGAGGGTCCCTGGTTCAATTCTGATCAAGGGCATGTACCTTGGTTGCAGGCACATCCCCAGTGGGGGAGTGCAGGAGGCAGCTGATCAATGTTTCTCTCTCATTGATGTTTTTAATTCTCATCTCTCTCCCTTTCTCTCTTAAAAAAAAAAAAATCAATAAAATACATATTAAAAAAACAAACACAAACAAAACAAAAACAAAAACCAAAACCAAAGCCCTGTGGATAGAGAGCTCTGACAGCCTCAGTGAGGAAAGGGGTGGCATTACAGGCAGACAGCTTACTTTTTCTTTCAAAATAAAATCGCCGTAGTCCTCTTTGCAGAGCCCTCTGACAGTCTTCCCTGAGGGCTCTTATTGGGACAGGTCAGCGATGTGGAACCGCATGGAACTGTGCTGCACCCACTTCACAGATTGCTCCGTGAGACCGCGAGGCTGCGGCCGCCAGGGCTCCGGCGATGAGCACCTTTCTTCATAGAACAGCAGCTCTCTGAGGTCAGGGCACTCCTCCCCCGGGGCCTAGAACCCTGCCAGGCACACGGCCTGTGGCACTCAGTGAGAGTTCACTGAGAACGGGAGCGGGCACGGAGCTGGGCGGCAGGGATGACCACATCTCTCCCCGTCCCCAGCCTCTGGGCAAGGGCCTGCATGCCGAGGCACGCCGGAGAACGCCCGCTTCCAGCCTGTGTGTGAGGTCACCTGTGTTTTCCCGAGCGTTAGGCTGTGTTTGCTCACAGCTGCCCCCGTTCCCCTCCTTCACTCGTGGTTCTCTGGTTCTCCCTGTGGCTCCATGTCCACCGACGCTCGGACGTGTCACCCGTGCACGTCTGCTTTCTGCCGGCGAGTGTCACATGCCCCCCAACTTTGCAGAAAACAGGAAGCCCCGTCAGTGAGAGGGCAGCCCAGTGATTCATCGGCGGATGACCATCCAGCTGTTCGTCCCCATCCTCTGCTGGGGTCACTGTGCAGGGCAGTCTCCCCCCCCCTCCCCCCCCCGCCCCCCGCCCCCCGGCCGGCCTGCCGAGGGAGCAGGCTTGGACTTTGCCTTATCACCTCTGGAAGCGGTATGGCCAGACTCGGTCAGGGCCAAGTTTTTATTTATCCTGCCCGGCTTTTTTTGGGGTGGGGAGGCTAAGGAATGTGGAGTGTTGTAACGTTGGGAAGGGGGGGGTGGGGGGACGGGAGCCAGCTCCCCTGCCCTGCTCATCCCTCTCACCCGTGTGGTGGGCGCTCCAGGCCTCCTCAGCCCCCCGGGCCCCCGCCAGGCCCATCTCAGTGTCCCGTTGGCTCCCCGTGCTCCCTGCGCCTGGACCCGTGGTCCTGGCCTCGCCTCCAGCCTTGGCTACGGCTGTGGCTTCCAGCGGTTGCAGCAGCTGCGGTGGCCTCCTCCGAGCGTGGCTGCGGATCCGTAGCAGATGAAACCCGAGGGGCTATTTATAGCGGGTGGCCCTGGCCTGGAGCAGGGCCCGAGGCCTGGGGAGGCTCAGCGGCTGCTCGTCAGGGCCCGGCCGCCGAGGGAGATGAAGTGTTGGGTTTCTGCGTTCCGCTGGGTGGGTAGTTTTGGAACGGCCTGGTTTGGGGCTTGAAAACCAAACACAACCCTCCTCACCCCCCCACTCTCCCCCCACACCGCCTGACTCATGCAGCCCTAGTCCTCAGGGCCAGGAGAGCTGCGGAGACAGAAACTCTCTGCCCCGACAGCCAGCCAGCCCCACTTGGCGTTTCCTCCTGCTGTCCGCCCAGGCCCAGCCGCTCCGGGCTGGGTGGGAGCCCGGGCCAAGGGGACTTGGGGTGCAACTTGCGTCCTGCTGGTGGATGGGGAGACCTCTTAGCAGGGCTGCCCTGACTTTGGGCTCCGCTGGGAGCTGGGCCTCCCAGCCCACTCCCTTCCACCTCCGAGACTCTGCAGGGCCTGGCGAGGGCTGAAGGGGGTCCAGCCTGCAGTCTGAGGGTGGATCCTGCCAGCCGCCAGGACGTGGGGGTGAGTCACCGTTGCCTCAGTTTCCCCTTTCATTGGCAAATTGCGGTCCCGTCTCCTCCAAGAAGTGGTTGGCACTTGGTGGTTGGGAAAGACTGGTTCCCGGGAGGCCCGGGAATGCTTGGACAGTGCCAATGGGCTCAGAGGGCTCGGCTGGCCGGGATTCTGGGAGCTGGGAATCCGATTCTGTATCGTGTGCGGTGGCTGAGAGGATGGGCTGCTGATGGTGGAAGTGATACGGGGTTTGATTTGGGGGTGGGGGGGTTGCTTGCATCCCTACCTGCCCTTTTAATTGTATTGATGTATAATAATAACAGTAACCACATCTACAGAGTGGCCAGATTATGATGATCTCTGAACGCATGGTAATCTGGCCACTCAGCGTATTTGTGTCTCCAATGGGGACCGAAAGTATTCTAGACTCTTGCTGGAGATCAGCTACCTATTTGCCCTGAGCTTTCTACCAGCCAGTGCAAAGGGGAAAACTGGATGGTGCATGATTTATACTATCTTTTCTATCAAATAAATGAGGTGCTCAAGAGAAGTACCCTGAGTGGCCAGGTTATTATGCGCTCAGAGACCATCATAATCTGGCCACTCAGTGTGTGTCAACGTTAAGTGTGTAATTCCTTCTCATCTTCAAACAACCTATGCCCGCACTTTACATGTGGCACCCCAGAGGCTCAGAGCGTTAGGCAGGAAGGCTGTCCAGCGGGGCGGAGGGTCTCAGCCTGGGCTTCCTCCTGTGTCGTCGGGTGCCCCGGCATGTTTTGGACACCAGCTTGGGTCCCTTCGCCTGGTTTTGTATGAGCTGACCGCCCTAGAAATGGGAGCAGGTGAGGGGGTGGCATACGACGGGCAGTGGGTCCTCGGGGGGCACGGTTTGCTGCCTGAGCCGCTCTCCGTAGGTGCCCGTGTGCCTGGCCGCTCTGTTTCTAACCCTCTGATGGAGCGACTTGTGCTGCTGCGTTAAAAAGGAGGAGTGTGTGCCGAAACCGGTTTGGCTCAGTGGTAGAGCATCGGTCTGCGGACTGAAGGGTCTCAGGTTCGATTCCGGTCAAGGGCATGTACCTTGGTTGCAGGCACATTCCCGGTAGGGGGCGTGCAAGAGGCAGCTGGTTGATGTTTCTCTCTCATCGACGTTTCTAGCTCTCTATCTCTCTTCCTTCCTCTCTGTAAAAAATCAATAAATATATTAAAAAAAAGAAAAGAAAAAAAAGGAGGAGTGTGGCATGGCGATGGGCGAAGGAGAAGGTTTATGGCTGGAGAGAGGGGGCCATCGCTCGCCTTTCCTTCTCTCGCACTGGCAGTCTGCATCCTCCCCTCGGGGTTACTATCGTGATGGCCGGTGGATTGAAATGACATGCATTTCCAAAGTCAGTCACTGTTTTATTGAGTGGGTGCTCAGTACAGGTGGCACCAGCCCAGGCGGGGCACGCTTCTCAACATTGGGATTCCTTCCTCGCACGCTCGCAAGCACACACACTCACGTGGAATTGGCATGGGCTGCTCTTGGCTTTGGGCTGCTTTGCTGCTGCCGTGTGAGGGTGCCCGGGCTGGAATGTTGGCGGGGAAAGGAGAAGTGGATCTGCGTTCGCCCATGACCCCGACTGCGCCCGTGGACGGCGCTCAGCCTGCCTCCTCCACAATGCCGCTTCTCTTCTCTCCTTCCCAGGGCTCCGCCAGAGTCAGCCCGAGTGTCCAGCCTCACCCGCAGCCCGTCAGGTATGCCTGGCCTGTGGGGGCACCGGGTGGGGGGCCTGGCAGTGAGGTCACTGTGGGAGTTCCTGGCAAGTCACGCCTGTGGGTCTCCGAGCCTGAAGTCACAAAGCCAGTGGTGGGAAGCCTGGGCACCCTCCCGGAGGTGAGGGTGGAGGCCGCTTGGAAAGGATCAGGCTCTGGGTTCTAGCTGGAAGCCAGCCTTGAGCTGAATTCTTTACGCACCTGCATGGTCCATCTAGTCCTTGCAACGGCCCTGCAAGGTGAGTGTTTTAGTTCCATTCGGTAGACGAGGACACAGCGCCAGAGGTGGCTTGTCAGGGGTCACACGGGGGCCTCGGTGCCCCTTCTCCCTGCGTCCAGCTTCTCTGGTTCTCTCTGTCTCACCTTCACCCCTGAGGCTCCAGAGATGAGTGAGGATCTGGCCCCAGGAAGATGGGGTCCCAGGGAGAGGGGACCTGGTGTGGGGCTGAAACCCCCAGCCCGCTCCTCCCCCTACAGCCCAGAAGCTGGGTGGGCAGTGTGGACGTGGGACTGAGGTGGCCAGGTGGGGGCGCTGTTTTGCCTGGCGCAGGCAGTGAGCGGAGGTAGGAGCCCACCTGATGAGGGATGGCCGGGGCTCAGAGCTCACATCACACCAGACCTTACTGCAGCCACTGGCCCTTCCGCCACTGGGTCCCCGTCATTCCACCACGGAGAAGCCTCCCATCGCCCCGGCGCCCCCATCTCCAGACCCCTCTACAGGGTTGGGCTCAGAGTTAACCTGGTGGAAACCGGGATTCTGCCCCACTTCTAGGGGGTCCTTCCCAGTGCTTCCCCATCACTTTCAAATACCCTGGTGGTATTCTGCCCACTGCCCTCCAATCCCAACTGTACCCCGCTGTAGTGACAGGTGATCAGAATGAAACGTGAGCATTGTCCGCCTCGGACACAGGGGAAGCCAGGTGCTAGGAGACCGCTGATGGGTAAGAAGGTGTTGGGGTGGGGAGCATGTGAGGTGCCCCCAGAAGCTACAGGGCTTCAGAATGGAATTCCAGTGTCTCAAGATCCATTTCCTCTTCCCATCAGCACCGCAGTGGGTCCTTGGACCCTCTCCCTGGAAGAGAAGCTGGGTTAGGTGTCAAGATGTGAGGCCCTACCTCCCTCACCCAGTGCCCCCAGCTCAGGTGGCTCTCTACTCTCCACAGAGCTCAGATGGTGCTGGGATGTCAGGGGGAGGGGAAGAGGGGCTCTGCACCCGCTGCTTCCTGGGCCCTTAGCAATCAGGAAGGCCATTGCCACCCAGCGCTGGAGTGGGGAGAGCTGCCAGAGGTAGGGATGGAGTTAGGGAACAAAGGGCAGGAGTTGGCCTGCCTCCGGGGAGGGCTGGAATGTGCGCTGTGGTCTGGCTCACCTGGAGCCCAGGTGAGGTGTCACCTGAGCTGCCCCTTCCCCCAAGAGGCCTCCTGCCCATGCCACGGCTCTGAAGCCAAGGAGGGCAGCGGAATATGCAGCCAGGGAACTGGAGAGCACTCGCTCCTCCTCTCTTCCCCCTTCCAGAGCTGTCCCGGGAGCCTTGGGGACACTCTGCCAGACCAGGCTGCAGTGTGTCCGGGGGCAGAGCTGGGCTCCTGGGTTCATGACCTCTAAGATCCGGGTGAAGGCAGTGCTGACAGAACGGATGAGTACCTGGGTTTGGTGTCATCACCATTTGGTTCTGAAACAGCCTGAGATCTTTGCCAGCTCTTTCTCTCAGCAAGGCGCCCCAGGTGGCCTTGCTGGCTGCACTGGCCTTGCCAGAGGAAGCCTCTGACCTTGGCTCTGGGTCTGGGAGCACCCCCCCCCCCCGCCGCCCAAGTTGGATATGGGGGCCATGAACAGGGGTGCAACTATCTGGTCCTTGTCCTGGGGAACTAGACTCTGACCTGGAACCCCTCTCTGCTAGTCTTCCCAGAAGCATGAGTGTGAGCCAGGCCATGGAGGACAGCTGCGAGCTGGACCTGGTATACGTCACCGAGAGGATCATCGCCGTCTCCTTCCCCAGCACCGCCAACGAGGAGCACTTCCGGAGCAACCTCCGCGAGGTGGCCCAGATGCTCAAGTCCAAACACGGAGGCAACTACCTGGTGAGGATGGGCCTCTCGCCGCTTTCCCAGTGTCCCTCCGCCCTTTCTGCCTGCCGCCTCACTGCTGTGTGCGCACGCATGTGTATGTGTGTGTGTTCATGCATGTGTGTACGTGTGTGTGTTCACCAGGAGGAAAGAATAACAATAAGAGCTCATGGTATTGAGCGCTCACTACAAGCCAGACCTTGTTCCAACTGCTTTCCGCATATTTAACCTTCGGGACAGCCTAGAAAGCAAGGCTTTGTCAGAGATCAGAGAGATGGAGTGTCTGCTAAGTTCCCGGTATCAGGAAGTGGCGGAGCTGGCACCTTGCTGGCACCTCTGAGAAGTCTGAAGGCAGAGTTGTGGCAGAGGCATCGTAAGGGACCGTGTGTTGCTGACGTGGGGACCGTACCTGGCCCGGGAGAGCCACCTAACAAATGTTAAGTGGCCGCCAGCGGTCTCCTCTGATGGCAGAGAGGGAGCCCATCCTGGCTCCAGAGGAGGGCGCAGGCCCACTTTCCTGGGAGGTGCATGTGACTGGACCAATAGTCTAGCCTGTGCAACCTTCAGGGCTGTCCTTGGCTCTGTGAGGAGAGGTGGCTGTAGGAGGCTGTATTGGGTCCCTGGGGCTGCTATAACAAATTACCCCAAACTCGGTGGCTTCAGCTTTTCACAGCTCTGGGGGCTGGAAGTCCAAATGGAGGTATTGGCAGGACCACGTTCCTCTGAATTGTGCAGGGAGCAACCTGCCTCACTTCTTCCTGGCTGCTGGTTGCTCTGGCATCTGTGATGGCTCTCTGCTTGAGACAGCTTCATCACTCCGATCTCTGCCTCTGTCGTCTCAGGGCTGTCCTTCTCGCCTGTGACTCTCTGGGTGTCCTTTCCTCTTCTTATAAGGACACCACCATTGGATTTAGGGTCCACCCTGAATTCGGGATGATCTCATCTCCAGATCCTTAACTACTTACATCAGCACAGGCCCTCTTTCCAAATAAGGTCACATTCTGAAGTTCAGGGGGATGTGAATTTTTGTGGGACACCATTCAACCCACCACAGACACCCATCCATCAGCTGTGTCAGACGCTGTTCGGAGAACACCAGGAAGTCCTGGGTTCGAATGCAAGCTCTGCTCTTAAGTAGCTGATCTTGCCCTCACTAAGTCTTAAGTTCCTCATCTGTAAAACGAGTCTAATAATGCTACCCATGTCTGATGGGGGTTGAAAAAATGAAGCCAACTGGTAGATGTAAAGCTCTTAGCATGGATATGACAGGGTATGGATACAGGGAGTGGTAGCTGTTGTTCCCATAATAAAGCGTGTTCCATTATGGGGCTCAAAAGTGGACTGGAAGCCCTAACAAGTTTGGCTCAGTGGATAGAGCATCGGTCTGCAGACTCAAGGGTCCCAGGTTCGATTCCGGTGAAAGGGCATGTACCTTGGTTGTGGGCACATACCCAGTAGGGAGTGTGCAGGAGGCAGCTGATCGATGTTTCTCTCATAGATGTTTCTCTCTGTCCCTCTTCCTTCCTCTCTGTAAAAAAAAAAAAAAGAAAAAAAAAAAAAAGAGTGGACTGGAAGCCATCTACGGCCCTTCCTGACTTCGGGAGTCCGGGATTTCATGGGACTCTGTGCTATGCCATGCTCCCTCCATCCTGCCTATTCCAGACCGTGGGGTCCTCTTTTCTCCCCAGGAGACAACATAGGGGTCTTTGAGTCTCGCAGGCAGTGCGGTAGGGGGAGACAGGAATCCCAGAGATTGGGGGATTCTTGCGGGCTGTGGTTAGATGCCAGAGAACGTCTTCTGGGAGAGGATGTCAGGGGTCTGAGAGGCCCACCAGGACAGGTGGCATCCTCTGCTGGAGGGGGTCTGACCGCAGAGCCATTGCATCTTCAAGGGGGGAGCTTCTAAAGTCCACCTGGGAATGGAAACGAGAGAAGGCCGATACTGAGTATGGGACTCGAGACAGGTTCCATCCCGTTCTGGTCTTTAGTTCTGGACGTGCGCTCACAGAGGGGAGTGGCTGAGAGTCTATACTTTTTCCCCCTTCCTGGCACTCTCCTCCCCACCTCCCATCCTGAGAACCTATAGTTGGGTTCCCGTTGCTCAGTGTGTATGTCTGGGACCCCAGCTCACGGGTGGGTGGGATCTCCAGCAGGGGCCAGAGCAGCCGGTGAGCCTTTCCGCCATTTCTGCCTTCTAGCTCTTCAACCTCTCTGAGCGGAGGCCCGACATCACGAAGCTCCACGCCAAGGTGAGTGCATGCAGATAGGGTGGGAGCGTCTACCACCTGGGAGGGGGATAGCAGACAGTCCCCTTGCCCCTCGGGTCCCACGACAGAGTTTTAGGGAAAGTGCTACGACAGTCTGCAAAGCCTGTTACAGCGCCATCTTCTCCTCGGATCATGGGAAAGAAATCTATTCATTGTTTCCATAATATGGACTATAGAAAGCAAAGCTCCATGCAGGGATATCCACCCAGCTCTGCCTCCCCTGGGGAGCCCTCAGAATCTCTGGGTGAGGCTGGGGCTGGGAGATTGTTAGTCTCTTTGGAAGATATCTTGGACTTAAACTGGCTGGGAATGGCCAACGTGGACCTTCCCGCCGCCGCCACCAGCTCTCACTCGCTCACCCTGTGGGCTGTGGGCTGGGCTCTGCATGGTGCCTGCTGCCGGCTCCTGCATTCTGGTGCCTGTTGCCGTGTGACCCCGAGGAGGTGACTTACTTTTCTGGGCCTCAGTTTGCACCTCTGGATTAGGTATAGTCTCTGGGCCCTTCAAAGTAGAAGTTCTCTTTTACTGTAAAGTTCTGTGAGTTTAGAAAAGTGTTGAGGAGCTGGAGACTGCGGTTCTGATCCGCCCTCTGTCTCCTCCGGCTTCTCCGGGCTGGCCCGAAAAATCAACGGTGTGTGTGACCGAGGCTTGGAAAAGAGCCACGAACAGCCAGGAACCCTTTGCTCTGCCCTCTTGCCCTGAGCCAGGTCATGGGGTTGTCTGTGAGAGCAGAGCTTGGGGTCAGAGCTGGGGCCCCATCACAGTTTGAGGTCAGAGTCGTGTGGAAGGGACCTTACCTTTGTTCTGCTCACATGTGAGACACTGAGGCCAGGAGAAGGGCCATGACTGCCCGGGGCTCCACGGTAAGACAGTGTCAGAGCTGAGACTCAGGCACAGGGTCCCTGGTCCTGACCATCGTCCTACCCCTCTGCACCCCCACCTTCCAGCTGGGCTGACAGGCAGGGCAGGAACCAAGGCCCAGCCACTGGTGGTCGCTGCCCGGTACTAGCATGTGGAGTGTGTGCTGTCCCCACTGCCCTGATTGGCTTCTGCCACTTCTCACTCCTGTCTTGGGCCCCAGGTACTGGAATTTGGCTGGCCTGACCTCCACACCCCAGCCCTGGAGAAGATCTGCAGCGTCTGCAAGGCCATGGACACTTGGCTCAACGCAGATCCCCACAATGTCGTCGTCCTACACAACAAGGTCAGAGCCGGCTGCAGGTTGTGTGTGTGTGTGTGTGTGTGTGTGTGTGTGTGTGTCCGTGTGTGAATGTATCCTTGGATGAGGGTATCTCCTGGCCTGTGTGAAGTCTGTGTATTCTCCTTTCTAGGGATGGTAGGTCCTGTCCCTGGGGCCCCCACAGGAAGTGTGGGGCCCTCAAATGTAGCGGGTGATCAACTCACTGTGTTTCTTCCTTTTGAGACTCAGCGCCAACCTTCGTCCCTCTCTCATCTCCCTCCCCCCATAGCCCCTCCGTCCTCCTGGTCTCCCTTAGAACCACACCTTTCTCTCCAGCCCCTGCTCCTCCCTCCAAGGCTCCGGATGGGCACTGGAGCAGTAGGCCGGCCTTAGAAATAAAGGCTTTTGTGTTTTGGGGCTCTTTCAGGGAAACCGAGGCAGGATAGGAGTGGTCATTGCCGCGTACATGCACTACAGCAACATTTCGGCCAGGTAAGAGGGCCCCTGAACCACCCGTTCTCTGCATATTGACCCACCCATGATTTCTCCCTTCCTTGGGATGGGAGGATAAAGACAGGGGCCGTGGGAAGGTCTTAGGATGAGGAAGGAAGGTGCCTGTCACACCTCAGGAGCCTGTGTGTGAAGGGCAGGAGAGAGGAGAGTCCATCCCCCATTGCCCAGCCTTGGGAGACGGGCCCCTCTGTGGATGCCCCATCCAGCCAGATTGTTGGGGCCACTTTTTCTTGCCAAACCGCCTTCTGTTTTCCTGGGTGAGCAGGGAGGGTGTCTGAAGGAAATGCTGTCAGGTCTGGGTCCATCAGAACCGTTGGGAGTTACCTCATCCATCCCTCTGTTCCCGGACAGCAGGGCCCCTTTCCGCTTAGGGTTTTGGAACAAGACTAGTAAGTCAGCGGTGCCCTGTTTTGGTTCCATTTTGCAGAGGCAGAGGGATCCATCCACTCACTGGCTTATTCTCTCGACAGTAGTTACCGAACAGCCACACACTGTTCTAGGTGCTGGGGTACAGCAGTGGGCAGAGCCAGGCCACTGTCCCATGGATTCTTAAGTAGCTAAGCAAGGATATCGTAGTAGCAGGTGATATGGAAGGATGGAGACCAGAGCATGGCAGGGGTCAGAGGAGGCCTCTGGAGGAGGCGATATTTGAGCAGAGACCTGAATCAGGCAGAGGAGGGCAGGACCGGTCGAGTCCCATAAAGTCTGGGAGGGGACTTCCCGGGCAGAGAGAAGAGGGAGGGACCAGGCCTGTGGGGGGAATGCCACGCGAGGGGCTGGCACGTGTTGAGCTGAGTGAGTGAGGGCATGAGGAGGAGGAAGTGGAGCTGGAAGGGGGCCAGCCTTGTAGGACTTGGTAAGGACTTTGGGTTTATTCTAAGGGTGATGGGAAGTCGTTGGGAGAATCAGGAAGGGGCAAGCTCTGGGACTGGTCACTGCATTTTGGAATGATCTCTCCGGGCGCTCTGATGGATGGCGATTTCACAACGTCAAGAAATCCACCTTAGCCTGATCTTTGCCTCCCGGTGCGCACTTCCTGTGCACCTCCTGTGTGCCTGTGTTAGCCCACCTGATCACCATAACAAACGCTGAGGAAGGCAACTGTCACTCTTGTTTGACATGAAATAAAAAAAGGCATTTTCAGGAAGGCTAAATAACCTGCCCTGAGGATCGTGATGAAGTGGTGGACTAGTGCTAGGCTCCCAGCTAGACTCCCAAGCCCCCGCATAGCACACAGGATCACAAAATGCCAGGCACTCTTTTCCCGAGAGCACCTCCGCACAGGCTGGCTGCAGGGCACTGCGGGTCCGGGGAGGGGGAGGGGGCCGAAGGGGCTCGGGCACGTGGATGTGGGCTCCTCTGACCACCTGTCTTTCCCCCCAGCGCGGACCAGGCACTGGACCGGTTTGCCATGAAGCGGTTCTATGAGGACAAGATTGTACCGATTGGCCAGCCATCCCAGAGAAGGTGGGTCACGGCCCAGGGCACCCGTGTGTGCTCACGATGTGTGGGGACTGGCCTCATGGGCCCACGGGGGATGGAATAACATGCCTCGGTGGGCGTGTACTAAATATGCATGCTCAGAGGCCAGTCTGGAGGGGTCTGCAATCAGGGACATGGGTGAGCCCATGAGCAGCTGTGTGTGTGCCCACAGGTGGGCAGGGCAGTTGGCTCCTGAGGCTGGTACTAGAGAGCAGTGGGGGCATCGGTGGGGGACACGTTGGTCCGGGGATAAGAAGGCAGACTGTATGAGGAGGCGGTGCCATTCTTGGTCCTGGAAGCAGGATCGCTTCAGTGTTTGGAGGCATCTACAGGAAACCGAGGTCCCTGCCACCTGCCCGGGGGGGTGGGGTGGGGGTGTCACATGCACGCTCGCTAACAGTTAATTTCACTGGGTGTGCTTTAAAAGCTTTATGGAGGGCACTCAGCCATGTGGTCTCAATGGAGTGCACAACAGCCCAGGCAGGAAGCAGGGCAGGGGCTGAGCCAGTCATTCATTGGGCACATTTTAGGCAGTCTGCTAGGTTCCAAACACTAGAGATACCCAGTTGAACAGGACAAAATCCATTGCCCCTAGTGAGGTGACACTCTATTGAGAAGGATGGATATTACACAAGACAATTTCAGATCGTCATTTGTCCTAGGAAAGAAAGAGGAGAGAGCGCTGCAGAGGAAACAGCTGAAGGGAGGAGAATGGGGCAATTTTAATGACCATGGTCCGGGAATACCTCTCAGAGGAGGGGATTGGAGCCCAAAGAGGAATAATGCTGACCCACCACATGACGATCCAGGGCACTTCCGTTTTACAGGAGAGAAGCCTGAGCTGCCAGGGAAGGGATGTGGATGCCAGGGTCCACAGCAGTGGCAGAGCCAGATGTACTTGGGACCTACCCCCTGGCTGTGCCACCCACCATCCTGAGGGCTCCCCCTGGACTCAGCTCTGTGGGTGGCAGGCTGTTCAGTGATGTCTGGTTTACAGGAAGCACAGGCAGTGTCAGGATCAGGTGGGCCTTGGGGGGCTGCATGGTAGTGGGAGACCCAGGCCGAGTGGAGAACTGGGAAGCTGGACTCTGGCCTTCCCCGTGTGGCCAGAGCTGTGGGCCCATCACATCTGTCTGATGTGTCACATTAGGCCACACACTAAGGCTGTGGTGTGAAATCTCTCAGGCAAGTTCTCTTGGGCTTACCTTTTGGTGGATGACACCCATGCACATTAGCCGTCATGGTCATCTCTGAGAATGAGAAGTGCTTTGAGGTGGGTAAACCAAAACAGAACATGATGGGCAAGAAAGTGATGGGAGTGGGTGTGAGGGGCTGATTCAAATGAGTGGGAGTAGCTGGTTTTTATTACCATTATCAGGAAATTTTTGTGTATATTCGGTCAATATTTTTTTATGAACTGTAAATGATTATCTTTAATAAATACATAACACAATGCAAAAAACCAACAACAAACAAACAAACAAAACACAAAGGGATGACCTTTCTGAGAATGTGACCTGTGAGGTGAGGCTTGAGAAGGGAGAAGGAAGCGTCTGAGGCTGGGGTCCAGGGTCCAGGCCGGGAGGTCACAGGGTCCCATTGCTTTCCTAGCCCTTAGGAACTGTTGGCAAGCAGGACCCCCTCGCTGCATGTCCGGGGGCTTCCCAGACTCTCCGGGTTGGGTGTCCCCAGCTCACATCACTCGTCCCTTGCTCGCCTTTCCAGAAGGGTCCTGGCATTGCTGGGGACAGTTTCCGCCATTGGAGCGGGAAGCCCTAGCAGCAATGAGTGAGTCTTCAGGCAACGCAGTATCTTACAGTTGGCACAAGACAGCTGGTAGGCAGCCTCAGGGCAGCTGGATCAGAAATTGGATGTCTTCATGTGCAGAGAATTCTGGCCGGGCTGCCAGACACAGCAGTTCTGGGTCCGTGAGGGAGTTCCCAGGGAAGAAGTCTCAGGGAGGGAAGAGCTGTCACTCAAGTACCCTCTCCTCAGTCCCTGCTGGCCACTTACGGCTGTCAGCCTTGGTCACGAGTGTGGCCCTTGCCCTTGAAGGACAAGGGGTAGCAATAGAGGAGTGTGATGTTACAGTGGCTTGGAGAGAGCAGGCTGAGTAGTCACATCTCTGAAGCTGAAAACCTGGAGAATGGGGATCAGGGTTACCTCTCAGGAACAGGATGACGCAGGGATTCCACAGTGCTCGGTGTGTGTGTGTGTGTGTGTGTGTGTGTGTGTGTACATTATCTGTGTCTGCCTTGCAGTTCCTATCTACACCCACATCTGCTAATGGGTGGGTAATTCCGTTTGTGCCCAAATGTGAAAGTGCAACTAACTGTTGGGTTTACCAGGCATTCATCGCCACTTTCCCGCCTTCTTGTCAGTGTCACGGGTAAGGAATGAGGCCGTTGAGGAGAAGAGGGCAGGCAGGGAGAGGGAGGGGCTTGGCCTGCAGCTCCCCCATTCATTGTCACCCCACCCCCGGACTCATTGTCCCCAGCACACAGACACATCCTGTTGGCGTGATCAGAAGCTCTGATAGGAACCCGCCATTCCAGGTTTCCGCTTTGAGTAATGGGGCTGGGGGCTGGGCAGGGGCCTGAATAGGAGCCGGTGCTGCCCATCAGATTATCTCGCTAGGGCTGTCCTAAGTGGCTCCACCCTGGCCCCGGGACAGGGGCCCACGGGCCTGGAGATGGGCCAGGGTGTCAAGATATAGGAGGGAACTATTATCTTGGTCATGCTGGATCTGGTCTCACCCACTACAAAAGCCCATGCTGGCTTCCTCCGGGGTCTCAGATGCATTCTGATTGGTTCAGCGTGGCATCCTCTGGCCAGCCAGAGGAGGAGGAAGTGCTGGCCAGTGGTGGAAGGATTGGCTTCTGTTCTGGCAGATGCACTGGAGTCAGACTTTTTTCCTTCTCTCCCCGTTCACTCTCAGCTTTGTGTGTTCTTGCTGTGTGTCTTTGGGAGGCGAATGAGCCTTTCTGAACCTAATTTTTTCTTTCTGCTTAGAAGGAGTGGGAATAGGTTAATCCTTCCATTCTTCTAACACGATCTTCATCAAAAACATTGGGAGCTGCTGACCCTAGAGATAGAAGTACTTAGCGGACGTTAGATATCGTCCAACACCATATGAAATGCTCTAGATGGATTTTCATACACTTAGCATGATTAAAAAAAAGTGAAATACTATGATTATTATGTTCTTACTATTTGCTGGAGTGTCATGTGTCTGGTGGGACCATGTGGAGAGACCCAGGGTCTGTGGGTATAAATGTCAGCTTGGTTTGGGCTCAGAATGAGGGTGTCAGAGTTATTTGACAGAGGATCAGCCTGCTTGTGTAGTGGCGAGCAGTTGAAAGATGCCTGTCAGGGATGTGTGGGAGGAATTTTGGTTTAGCAGGGGATTCCTGGGCTGAGTGAAGCAGAGAGAAATGCTCTCATTGACCACCAGGGGGCGCTGGAGAATCCCAAGTAGGGGTTTTGGCTTCACCCAGCTTTAGGTCTTATAGAACCTGCTTTTTCTCCCTACTTGGAGCTCCAGACAACAAGGGAGGACTGTGCTGGGCTGAGACCCCAGTTACCCGGAGGCCTGAGGGCTTTGGTAGGGGGCTGGGCAGGCAACCTAGGCCCGTGCTATGATGGAAAAGAGAATATGGGATGGCTCGCCTCTGGTTCAGACCTCCTGGCTGAAGCTGCCCCTGTCCCTGCTCCAGGTACGTGCACTACTTCAGCGGCCTGCTCTCCGGCACCATCAAAATGAATAACAAGCCCTTGTTTCTGCACCACGTGATCATGCACGGCATCCCCAACTTCGAGTCTAAAGGAGGTACTGACCCCAGCCTGCCCAGCCCCTCCTGTCTTCCTTCCCCTTCGTGAAGAGGCAGCCATGGTAAAAATACAGGCTGGGAATGGCGTCTCAACGGCACCACTTCCTGAGCTTTCTTTCCCCCAGTCCACTCCTTTGCAGAATGGGTTTGATGCTTGCAGCACCTGCTGGAAGATAGTGGACGGGGAAATGTTTTTGTCAACTTAAAATGCTTTTCAGATGAAAAGCTAGTATTCCTCCCTCCATCTCTTACCATTTCCCTTTCATCGTTTCTCCTTCCCCTTTCTCTCCCCCTCCTTTCTTTCTCCCCCACCTCCTTCACTCCTCTCCCTCTTCCCACCCTTCCTACTGCTGCAGCTAACACCACCCTTCCTTGCAGGGTGTCGGCCATTTCTCCGGATCTACCAGGCCATGCAGCCTGTTTACACATCTGGCATCTAGTAAGTATTCCACGGGAGTGAGTGTCCCAGATGCCAGAGCTCGGAGGCTGAGGACCAGGAGCAGGGGTGCGCATGCGTGTGTGTGTGTGTGTGTGTGTGTGTGTGCGCGTGCGTGTGTGTGTGTGTGTGTGTGGGTGTGTGTGTCGTGGTGGTGGTGGCTGCCTTGAATCTCTTCCAAGAGAAGGCTAGGGGATGAAGTCGGCAAGGTTTCCCAGTAGCCTGGTGGCAGATAGGCAGCAGGGAGAAGAACACTGCCTGCCCCCCCCCAGCGGTCCCCTCTCCCTCTTTCCGCCTCCCCCAACAGCAACGTCCAAGGAGACAGCCAGACCAGCATCTGCATCACCATCGAGCCTGGGCTGCTCTTGAAGGGAGACATCTTGGTGAGCGCTGCCCCTCTGGCTCTAGCCCCTCCTCGTCGTTTATTTTTCTCCCTGTTTTCTTCCTGTGCTGCTCCTGCCTCTCCAGGCAAGACCTCCTCCTGGTGGGCCACCTGCCTCAGTGCTGTAGGCTCTCAGGGATCCTGCAAGGCCTTGCAGCCTCTGACAATGCTTGTGCATTCTCTGGCCTCGGAGCTGGAGGCCCCTTCCGCTGGGCTTACCTCTAATTCTGGAACAGCTCCAGGGAAGTGTCTCCCAGTGGGAGCTCCCACCTCCTGCTTCTTACTGGTGACAAGGACTCCCTCAATTCCAGCTTCAGTCCTTCCTCCATCAGTTTACATCCACCCCTACTTTTCCATCCCGATCCGTATGCAGGAGATTCTTGAGAGGCAGTTTTGTCCCCATGGGGTAAGACTGGCCTCCAACTCTCTGCTCTTCTAGACATTTTCCCAGAGGCTCTGAGATCCTGTTTGTGTGGGTGGCCTCCCCCTCACTGGGTTTGGGGTGAGCCTGAGGGGGCGGCCCAGTCTTGGAGCTGATAAATAAGCCCCCTGGGGCCCGGTTTCACCCGGTGGGCGCCTGATGGGCTCTGCTCTCTTCTCGCCAGCTGAAGTGCTACCACAAGAAGTTCCGGAGCCCGGCCCGGGACGTCATCTTCCGCGTGCAGTTCCACACCTGCGCCGTCCACGACCTGGGCGTGGTCTTTGGGAAGGAGGACCTGGATGACGCCTTCAAAGGTGGGCTCACGGAGTGGAGAGGTAGACGTACTGGGGTAATTCCATCACAGGGCAGACGAGCAATTGTGTGGGGTGGGGAGCATGGTAGCGGTGAAGGGGACCATTTTCTGAGGAAAGGGGAGGTGGTCAGGGGTGTCTCCCTTTGTTTCTTTTCTCTATTCTTTTGAGGTTTTATCTACATCACATTCAGGACTGGAAATATCCACATCGCTACCCATTCATCCATCTATTTACTTGTCTGTGCATCTACCCACTTACCTACCCACCCATCTAAAGTTATCCGACTACCCACCCATCCAAATCTATCCATCTACTCATCCATCTACTCACTTGTTCATGTATTCATCCATCTAACTACCCATCAATTCATCCACCCACCCACTCATCCAAATCCACCCATCCACTCATCTGTTCATTCATTCATTCATTCATTCATCCATCCACCAAGCATCACTTGGGTGTCTATCTGTGCCAGGCGTGTGTAGACCTTGGGGATGCAATGAGAAAGAGTGAGTCCATAACCTCAGTCTTATGGAACAATGAGACTCACAAACATGATACTACAGAGTGAAGCCTGCAGTGATAGACACGGACAGGCATGATGGGTGCCCCAGGGAGTGGACACCATCCTTGATAACTTCACAGTGTATGCTGATCTGTGTCCAGATTGGGCTCAGGCAGGGAGCAGAGAGCGGGGCTGGGACTTGGAGGAGGAGGGGGATGATGCCCTCTTGTAGTCTGGCTGGTGCAGGAGAAGAATGTGGACAAAAGCAGAAGATGCTGTTATCATTATAGAACAGAATGACTGTTATTTATCTTAACAATGAACAATAAAGGAATAGTTGACACAGTAAAGGTGGGGTTGGTGAAGATGGAAGAAAGGGAGGGGCACAATTCCTTTTCCTACATAGAGGGGGTAAAAAATGGACAGATCAAGCCCAGGCAGTGTGGCTCAGTGGTTGAACGTTGTCCTATTGAACCAGGAGGTCACGGTTCAATTCCCAATCAGGACACATGCCCAGGTTGCGGGCTCAATGCCTAGTTAGGGACATACGGAAACAGCCTATCAATGATTCTCTCTCATCATTGATATTTCTATCCCTATCTCCTTCTCCCTTCTTCTCTCTGAAATAAATAAATACTAAAAAAAAGGGACAGGTGCAGAAATAGAGGGTTAACTATAGTATTTAAAGTTTCAAATGTAATCAGTAGAATAAATGATGATGATGATGATATCAGACTTTAGAAGAAGGGAGGTAGGAGTATAAGTGAGCCAAATTATTCATTTTCTTAGTGGTGAATCAGAGGGGATTATTTAAAACTGATGTATCTAGAAATAGTGACATAAAAACTGGCCAATATTTAGAGTCTTAGTGGTAACCACTAGTATTAATAGAACAAGAAATAGAAATGGTTAGAAATGATTACCTCAGGTAAGTAGGACTGGGTCAAGGGAGGGTGTATTATTTTAATCTTTTCTAGAAGAAAACCTTTTATGGAGTCCTTTTTAGAAATTGATTGCCCATCTTGTTTTTCTTTCTCCTTTTTCAGATGATCGGTTTCCAGAATACGGCAAGGTGGAATTTGTATTTTCTTATGGGCCAGAGAAAATTCAAGGTATAAGTCAAATTGGAATCCATTCATCATTCACTTTCTTCCCTCTATCCTGGCCTGTTCCCACCCCTCCTTCACCATTCTCCCACTGATTTCTATAATTGTCAGGTTATCTGTGATTGAAAAGCAGGCCAACAGTAAAAGATCTGGGTATCATAGTGGACCCCCAGCTAAACACGAACCAGTGACTTCATCTCTGGGTAATAAAAATAAAAAAGCAGACAGGGAGGCGCTGGGTTGGATAAACTGTTCTAGTCCCTTAGGTCATCGTGCTATTATATTTAGAGATGGAGGGTGGAGGGTGTGGCTGAGGGGACACTCCAAGGTGCTGGCTACACGATAGGCATTTCTGAGAACTGAGGTGGTCCAACCTGAAGAGAGACCAATTTAATAATAGCCTCTAAGCCTTTAGGCTGGTTATATGCGGAGACCAGTTGTTCTCCATCTTCTCTGAGGACAGAACGGGAGGACATGAAGTTAGGTTACAGACAAGGGGACTCTGGATAGATTAAAGCTCAGGAATGTCTGCCTGGCAGCTTGTGCTGTCTTCACTCTGGGCTTTCTCTGGACGTGCAGGAGGGGTTCCGTCTCTCCCCTCAGCTTTCTGCCTAGAGCGGGGAGCGTCTTACGTTGGGAGCGGGAAGATGGCCTGGATGACCTTGTGTCCTCTCAGTGTCAAGGCTATGAGCCCTGCTTCTCCCACATCCTGCTGACCTCAGGGGCAGGCGCTGGTCTCTGCACTGCTCCCAGGACACAGGAAAGAAAGCAGCACTCAGCAGAGGGTCCCCCAGCTTTCTCTTGAGGGAGGGGGTCTGCATTCCTTAGTGCCCTGTCCTGACTTACCCCTGTGACCTGGTAAGAGCCTTCTCAAGAATGCGAGAAACCAGACCCCTGGGTTCTCCGCCCAGCTGAAGCCACTGCTCCCACCCCACCCGGGTCAGGAAAACGAGAAGGCCCGCAGGGAGCGTCCTTGGGGGATCTCGTTGGCGTCCTCTGTTTTACCAGCTGCGATCTTTTTCCTTCCTCCTCACTGTCCTCCCGCCCTTCCCCGTCCTCTTAGGCATGGAGCACCTGGAGAACGGGCCGAGCGTGTCCGTGGATTACAACACCTCCGACCCCCTCATCCGCTGGGATTCCTACGACCACTTGAATGGGCATCGCGAGGACGGCATGGAGGGTAGGTGGGACCAAGGGCCTCCCGTCCGGCTCCACACTGCACAGCCCCGCGCAGAGGGCCTGGGCTCTCTTGTTTGGTGGGACTCTGTACTGGGCTCAAGGGAGGCAGAGGAGAGGTCCGAGGCTCCTTGGAGAGCTCATGGTTCAGTGGGAGAAAATAAGGCAAACATGAGTGTGTGAAATAATGAAGACAGAGCTAAAAAAAAAAAAAAAAAAATGAAGCTACACGGCCACCTTGAGGGTGTGCCGTTGGAGCCACGTGAGTCCCAGGGATGGCGCGTGCTCTGAGATCGGGGTGGGGGTCGGTGTGCTTGTTAGCTGGAGTGACCTGGGAAGGCTCCTCCGAGGAGGTGGCCTCGAGTGGACCTCAAGGTACCCCCTGTGACGCCGACACAGCACTGGTCAGATCTCTTTTAAGTCCGGCTGCTGCGTTCCTGCAGCCTCGCTGCCCGAGCGCTGTGGGGACAGGGCGCTGTGGGGTCAGGGCGCTGGGAGTGTAGACACAGCACCCAGGCCTGCAGGCTTTCATCGGCGGCCAACGAAAACCTGGGAGCGCCGGAGACAAACAGATAGGCCCCGCAATTTGCAAAGAAAACGGCAGAACTGAAATTAATACTCGTGTAGCTGCGAACCCTGACATTATGTCAGATGGTCGGCGGCAGCTCCGTTCAGCTCTGGAGAGCTATATCTGGGTTATATTTTTTCATGTGGTTCCTTTGAGTGTGTGAGGCGAGGCAGGGCGGGGCCTCCACAAGTGACCATCCTGGGATGTTCCTGAGATGCCCTGCCTGGCCACGGGCTTGCTTCCCTGACATGGTCCCAGGACTGTGGACTGTGGGAGCCGGGCGGACCCTCAGGCCCCCCCACCCCCATCAGTTTTATGTCGGGGTAACGGAGGCACCCTGGAAGGAAGGGCCTCCTGATGGACCCCATGATCTGTAATGTGTCCTTTCACCAGCACCCAGGCTATGGGCTTCTCCTTCCGGCTGGAGCTGGTTCTGGGGGAAGGGGCTGCCCTGAGCAGGGGGTCTAGGGCCACGTGGCAGAGCTGGGTTAGGGAGAACCAGGCACCTGCCCCTGGTCCCCCTCCTCCTCTCCCAGGTTCTCGATCTGTGAACTCCACCCTGAAAGCTTTTAAGCCTTTTCTTGCATAAACATTTTCCTCCTGACCTCGGAGACACTGGCAGGAGGGAGGTGGGAGGAGGGCAGCGGCTGGGATAGAATTCAGGGCTCGGTGAGGGCAGGTTGTTTATGCGCTGCGCTGCAGAGCTGAAGGCTCATCCTCAGACCTGCCTTCATTCCCTGCCCTTCCTCCCCGCAGGGGCGCAGACACCACCCCAGGGCCTCCCCCACCCTGCCCAGGCAGCCCCCAAAAGCACTGCTTCTTCCTCTGCCCCCACCCCAACCCCATCCACTTGTGCTAAGTGGCTGAGGACGAGGCAGAGGATGAAATAAATTAGTCTGAGGTACCAGCGGCTGCCAGCCTAATTGCTCATCTTCTGGGGATGTTTGCATTTTTAACAAGAACACTTGGCAATTTGAAGGAATTTTCGATGTCTCCCTATCCCTCCCTGGTGTGGATTCAATGCAATGATAAATGTAAACACATTTGGTAAACTCTAAAGTGCCAGGCAAATAAAAGGTAAAATAAGAGGGAAGAAGGAGCAGCTGGGGAAGGGTCAGGGCTTGGGACCCTGGGCTGTGAGGGAAGGCAGAGGGAAGACGGAACAGGGAGAGGCAGGGGAGATGAGGGAGAGGCTGAGGGGAGGCCCTGGACTCCTCCCAGCCCCTCGCCTGCCTTCTTCTCTCCTGCAAACCCCTAATCCCAAGATTCTGGGGTGCTCAGGAGATGCGCAAGCTGGAGCGTGGGGGGGGAGGGGAGGCTGGCCTTCCCTGGAGTGATGGGGCTTGGGGGGTGGCCTGGGGGTGATGAAGCACCTCAGGGGGCTCTGCCTGCTCTCTGGGACGGCTGGACCAGGAGCGGCCGGCTGCCCCGGACACCGCAGTGCGGTGGGTTAACAGATGTGCTTTCCAGGCTGCCTGCCCGGGTCCGAATCCCAGCACCCTCCTCTGTGCTGCATGTCCTGGGTCCGATTCCTTAGCCTTCACGTGGTCCTAGTGTCCTCACCTACACACTTGGGGCCGTAATGGTATCCATGTGGTTGGGTTACCTTAGCAATTTCCAGGAGAGGCAGGTTGGGAGAGGGGTTAAGAAGTGGCCTCCGGAGTGAAACCACTCATCTGGGTTCCAATCCTTTGACAAGATGCCACCCGCTTGGGGCCTCGGTTTCCTCTGCTGTAAGTTGGGGATTCAGTGAACCATTTTGGGGGGTCAGTAGCTGTGGAGGGGCTACCTGCTGTGTTTTCTCGTGGGTCTCTGGCACGTCAGGAGTTGCTGTGACAGCATCTCAAGGGTCTGCAGGCAGGGCTGAGGGAGAGACTCCTTGGCCTTGGGAGCCAGCTCTGGTTTTGCCACCTGCTAGCTGCGGTGCCAGTACTTGGTAGCCACCATCTCTTCTAACACAGGCACCTGGGAAGTGGGCACTGTTATACGGTTCGATGGGGGAACTAGGGCACAGAGGGCTTAAGTACCCAGGATGGCCTAGCTAGTTAAGAGAGGATCTGAGTGTGAAAGCCAGCACTAACTACTGAGTAGTCCTGGGTTGACTGGCATCTCCAGGGGCCTGTTCTGAGTATCAGGTCCTGTGGTCATAGCTGGGTCCCTGCTGAGCTTGGGTGAGTGTCTGTCTGCTTTACCCCTGGATGGACCAGATCTCCCTGGTCCTGCCTCTCACAGTGACGGAGGGCTTAGAGGTGGTGGCACGTGCAGACCCTGGAGGCCTCCGGGCTGGCCCCTGGACAGGTGCTCGCAGGTCTCTGGACAGCGGACAGCAGAGACGCATCCCTTCCTGTCTCTCCCCCCTCCCAGGAGGTGAGGGGCTGCTCACTCAGAATGCCTCTGGCGAGGGAGGGGCTGGCCTCTCAAAATAGGTAAGGGGAATGTGTCCAAGGTGAGATGAGGCCATTTGTGGAAGCAGCCTGCCCCTGCTATTTCAGGCCAGCGGGGGGCGTGGACAGGAGAGGCCAGGCCAGGCCAGGCCCTCTGGAGTCCACTGGGTGACTCAGGGGAGGGCGGGGGCACTGAGCCAGGCGCTCTGGAACGAAATTTTCGCTGGCCTGGGCCTTACCTTGTCCCCTCCCTGGAGTGAGGGGCGGCCAGCATTGGGGTCAGAGCTCCTGTTTCTCTGGGCAGCCCTCCAGGTGACCTTGACTTAACCCTCAGGGTCACCACGGTTCTGTGTTTCTGTTCTCTGTGGACGGACCTCCCAGGCTGGCGTGGCCCAGGCCAGCCAGAGAGCCCATCTGATGCCATTCTGCCTCAGTGGGGAAACCGAGGCTCGGGAGGGGCAGGGACCTGCCTAATTGGGAGGCAGTCCCCACGTGTGGAACCCACCTTGGCGTGATCTCAGCTCCTGCTGTGCCAGCAGCCACACGGGTGTGGCAGGATGGGCTGTGTTGCCGGGGGTCATGTCGTAAGAAGTGGAGCTGATATTTGAATCTAGGGCTTCACCTCCATCTCCCTTTCCATCTGCTTTAGAACTCAGCTTGTCTGGCACTGTCACGCCCCTCTCTCCAGTGGCTCTCCAACCTCTCAAACCTTTAGGTGACAGGGAGCTTGCTGCCATGCAGCATGGCCCATTTCACTCTGGGCAAGCAAGGGAGGGTGTGCTTCCCCATGGGGGACCGAGGCTGGGGTGGCCATGGGTTCTTGGGGACCGTGGTGATTCACCTGCATTTAAGCTAGAAGGAGGGGGAAGAGGCAATGGAAGCTCAGTGTCCAGAACTTTCGGAGCACAGACGTTTTCAGGCCTCGGGACAGGTGGCTGGGAGGCAGGGGGTTGCCTGCTATCTTGGGGACCCTTCAGTGTGGGAGCAGGGCCCTCTGGTGAGCCCGATGGCCTGGGGTCTTAGGTCAGGCTGCCACCACAAAGCAACACGGAGTGAGGGGCTTATACGGTGGACTTTAGTTTTCTGATGGCTCTGGAGGCCAGAAGGCTGAGGTCAGGCTGGTTCCTCCTGAGACCGCTCTCCTGGGCTTACAGTCAGCCGCCTTCTCCCTGTGTCTCGCCATGGAGCCCCTGGGTCCTCATCTCCTCTTATAAGGACACGAGTTAGATTGGATTAGGGCCCACCCATATCTTTTTTAAATTTACTTACCTCTTTAAAGTCCCTGTCTCCAAATACAGTCATAGTCTGAGGTTAGAACTTCAATACATGAGTTTTTCTGGGTGGAGGGGATTTAGCCCATCACACCTAGGAAGGAGTGTTCTGGGTTGCCCAGAGTTGGATGCCTGAGCTTTGGTCCTGCGTGGGGAGGAGGAAAGGCCCAGGGTGGGTGGAGGGGAGGGCAGTTGGTCCTCCACTAGCCTCCTTCTCCCGGGCTGTCTCTGTCGTTCTCCAGTTTGGTCTGGAGCCTGCCAGCTCGGCGCTCTGGCTGACACCACGCTTCACAGCCTCCAGCAGCCCCATTAGCTGCTTGGCCTGCGTTCTGAAGCCCCGTGCCCAGATCTCGGCTCCCGTGGGTGGGAGTGGGGCTGTGTTTCTGCCTATGCTGCAGAGCCGTCTCCAGATGCCTCCGGAGTGTTTGAGGGCAAGCCTTCTCGGAAGCAAGTCCCGTACAGTGAGATGCGGGCAGCCTCCCGCCTCCGGGCAGCCCAGAGGCTGACCAGGCCTGAGTGGCCTCGCTCTCCCTCCCCAGGACCACGCCCACTCTTCCCTGACCTCCTTGGACACCAGGTTGTTTCGGGGCCTCACAATGTACAGAGAGGACCCGGGAGGAGGGGCTCGCGCTGAGGAAAGCAGTGCAGCGGATGGCTCAGGGCCGAAGAAAAGAGTGAAGGGAGAGCAGGACAAGCTTGTGAAGGTGGCAAGGGGGCTGGTCACCACCCCATTTCTCTCCTGCCTGGTGCCCATTGTTTCTGAGGCAGTCCCACCAGAGCC